AGCAAGTTATGGTTTAGCTCATTTTATTTGGGGCACTGAAAAGAAAGCCCTTACGGATAAAATGATTTTTTTTCTTCCATTGTTCCCAAGGTGATTTCTGGCACTCTTGAAAGCGCAAGTGATTCATCAATTAATCAAGTCATTGGGGACAAGCAGCAGTAATGTGATTATCAAACTACGAATATTGGACAAACTGTGCTTAATTCCCATGTAAAGTGTGTATGTGTGTGTATGTGTGTGTGTGTGTGTGCGCGCGTGTGTGTCAGGAGGTGGTCAGTGGTGAATCAGTACCTTCAACATTGTCCCTGAGAAAAGATTAGCAGGAATTATTAAAGATTCTTATGTTTTATAAAAATCCAACAACTGAGAAAAATATTGGGCAACTCATACTCCAGTCCTTAAACTCAAAATCACAGGTTCTTACCCTGGAGTCCACAGATTAAAATTCAGACCATCTGTAAATCTCCTAATACTGTTTGCAAAATTTTGTGTGATTTAAAATTTTCTTTTCAGAGAGGAAGGAAGAAAGGAAGACTTTTTTCTGTGCCCATTGTTTGGAGTTTACTAGTTTACTGCTATATTGATATTCACTCTTGTATACAGAGAAGAGAGAAGGAAGGAAGGAAGGAAGGAAGGAAGGAAGGAAGGAAGGAAGGAAGGAAGGAAGGGGAATACAGAGAAACAAGGAGTCTCATCAGGTCTGTCCCAAGTCAGATCAACCAAATGTATGTGAAATTTGTACAAAGTATTTATCTGCTAACTTTTATATTGTATTTGTGTTAAAAGTAAACAATGGTTTGATCATTTTCCTTTCAAAAGCCTCTGAAGTTTCAAACTGGTTTAGATTGCATTTTCAGAGTCCATGGTATTAACAAAAATGTAGATGTTGATTAAATTCATAGAAACTGTTTAGAATAAACATGTCTCAAAAAATTTCTCTAATATAAATTTCTGAGCATTTCTGTTAAATCCTTCAAAAGTATCTTCAATGAAATGGCTATACTATTTGCAGCAATATAATTTTATATTGAAAGGAGCTATTAAAAAAGACAAAAGGGTAATAAAAGATTTCTATATTTTCAGAATACTAGTTTTAGCATATAAAAATCCATATAATTCCAGTACTAATTGTAATGCAACGCTATTCTCATTTAAGTAAAGAATAGAAAGCTTTCAAGTAAAATGCAGTTCTTCTCATCATGCTCCCAAAACTGCACAAAGAGTTTAGAATTAAGTTTCACTAATGTCGTTGTGCAATCATCAGCACACATTATTCTGTACATAGAGAAGTGAACTCTGATAGAATCTTCAGTCCCTTTTCTGTGTTACAAAGGGCATTCCTAATCTTTTTTATTCTTTATTCTTAGTCCCAAAGAGCAAATACGTGTTGGATTTAATTGCCTTGTAAATCAAGAATCTTGTCATCTTTTCTTTAAGATTGTTCTCAAAATTTAATTCCGCTTCAAATTAATACATAAATGGGCAACTCTTCAGTCCCCAAACATTTCACTCATTGATAACTTGCGAAGGTAGATAATGATATAATTTAAACATTTAAGCAAGAAAAGACATGAATATTTTACAAATTGTTAGAACTTTTAAATCATTATTTCTTTAAATAGCTACCTTAAATAAATGTCAGCATGGTTTGAATCTAAATTAGTAAGGATTTATGGGATTTCTTTTATGAAAACCTTTTCCCTCTCAATGCCTTTCAAAGCACATAAAAGCACACACTTACCCCATGTTGCTTGCTGTGGTTATATCATCCTCAGATCAAGGCTTATCTGGATTCTAAATTAATTTAAAGGTTATATAAAAAAAAAAAAAAAGGAGAGGTTTGACTTCCCCGGAAACGAGACTGTCATATGCTAACTAGGCTTTTAAATGAGGAAAACTAGTGTCTCTTCTAATTATATAAGCTCCAGGTCAAATTCTAGCATCAACTAATCAACTGAACTGCATTTAGTTTCAAGGAGTAAAAGAAAGAAAACTGTTTAAAAGGAATGACTTTGTTATCTTGGAAAACTGGAAACTTGAACATTAAAAAGTTATATATATCAATAAAAAGTTAAAGATTTTAAAAGCAAAGTATATATCTGTTGCCTTAAATATTTTTAAAGAAAAATATTGTGACAAATTTAATTTGCAGTAAAACAGATTATTTTCCTATATTTTCCAGAAGTTTTGAAATTCCATTATATGTCCTGGTACCTGAAAATAGCCTCTCACTTTATCTTAATTTCTACGAATTCCAGTACAAGAACAATATTTAATTCTAAAACATACCAATTGAAGTTAAGTAACAAATCCAAAAGTGTCTAATTTTAAAAATGTATCTTTAAACATTTAAAAATAGGGTCTTTTGAAATTAAATACATAATCTATGATTATGAAAAACTAACACAAATACCACTTTTGTTTATATATATTTTTTGAGAGAGAAAGAAAGAGAGAGCACAAGCAGGGAAGGGGCTGAAACAGAGGGAGAGAGAATCTTAAGCAGCTTCCACACTCAGCACGGAGCCTGATACGGGGCTCTGTTTCACGACTGTGAGATCATGACCTGAGCAGAGATCAAGGGTCTTAACTGACTGACCAACCCAGGCGCCCCTTATTTATATATTTTAATAGACATTTCAACCCAGATTTATAGTAGTACAACAGAAATTTTTTAAAACTACCAAGTATATTGAGAAGTACAAATTTCCGTAAGATTTTGAATGAAGAAATATGATATGGAAATTACTGTTTACACCATTTATTGTCAGTTTTGGAAAAATAGTTTCAGCAAACCCTCAGGTCTTTATTGTAATTTAAAAAAAAAAATTTTTTTAATGTTTTATTTATTTCTAGGAGAGAGAGAGAGAGACAGCATGAGCAGGGGAGGGTCAGAGAGAGAGGGAGTGACAGACTCTGAAACAGGTTCCAGGCTCTAGAGTCAGCTCAGAGCCCGACGCACGGCTCGAACCCACGAACCATGAGATCATGACCGAAGCGAAAGTCAGACGCTCAACCGACTAAGCCACCCAGGTGCCCCTTTATTGTAATTTTTAATATGTAGTTGTCATATAGTGCTGTGGTAATTTTTACATTATATTTTCTAAAAGGTAAAGAAGCTTCCTTAGCATAGAATATGTGAAGACTCATAGATCTACTTTTGACAAAATTGAAATATAATTCATAATCCACACATAAAATTTGCCCTTTTAATGTGAACAGTTCAGTGTTTTTTAGTATTCCCAAGGTTGTGTGACTATCACCACTATTTCCAGAAATTTCCATCACCCAAGAAAGAAACCCCTGCCTTCCAAACCCTCCCTCCCATGGCAACCACTAATCTACTTCCTATCTCTATAGCTTTGCCTATTTTGGACATTTCACATAAAGGCTAATACGTAGCTTTTTGCAACTGGCTTCTTTCACTTAGTATAATGTTTTCGAGGTTCATCTGTGTTGTGGCATGTGTCACTACTTCATTCCTTTTTATGGTTGAAAATACTCCTTCCTGTGGATATCCCACATTTTGTTTATCCATTCATCAGTTGATGGACAATTAGGTTGTTTTCAATATTGAGCTTTACAAATAATGCTGCTGTGAACATTCCTATACAGGCCAATTCTTTTAAGGACGTAGTTAGGAATTGCTGGACCATATGAGAACTATATGTCTAACTTTTTGAGAAACTGTTTTCCATAGCAGCTGTACCATTTTACCTTCCTGCCAGAAATGTTGGCAGAAATGTTTTCTAATATCACCATTCTAGTGATTCTGAAGTGCTTATTGTAGGTTTAATTCACTTTTTCCTAGAGAGTAATGATGTTGAGCATCTTTTCATCTGCTTATTAGATATTTGCATATTTTCTTTGAAGACAAGTCTATTCAACCGATTTTTTAATTGGGTTGTGTTTTTATTTACATCTATTTACATATGAGTTCTTTACATACTCTGGGATCTAAACCTGTATCAGATATATGATGGGCAAATGTTTTCTCCCGTTCTGTGGATTGTCTTTTGATTTTCTTGATAGTTTCTTTTTACACATGGATATGCTTTTTTTTTTTTAATGCCTATTTTTGAGAGAGTGAGTGTGAGCAGGGGAGGGGCAAAGGGGGGGGGGGGGACAAAGGATCCAAAGCAGGCTCTGTGCTGACAACACAGTACTTCATGCGGGGCTTGAACTCACAAACCATGGTATCATGACCTGAGCCGAAGTTGAACTCTCAACTAACTGAGCCACCCAGGTGACCCCACAAAGATATGCTTTTTATTTTTATTTTTTTCTTTTATAGTTTATTGTCAAGTTGGTTTCCATATACCACCCAGTTCTCATCCCAATAAGTGCCCTCCTCCATGCCCATCACCCCTTTTCCTCTCTCTCTCCCAGCCCCAATCAATCCTCAGTCTGTTCTCAGTATTCAAGAGTCTCTTATGGTTTGCCTCCCTCCCTCTCCTTAACTATGTTCCCCTTCTCCCCTATGGTCCTCTGTTAAGTTTATCCTGTTCCACATATGAGTGAAAACATATGGTATCTGTCTTTCTCTGCCTGACTTATTTCACTTAGCATAACACCCTCGAGTTCCAACCATGTTGCTACACATGGCCAGATTTCATTCTTTCTCATTGCCATGTAGTATTCTTATCATATAGATAAGCCACATCTTCTTGATCCATTCGTCAGTTGATGGGCATTTAGACTCTTTCCATGATTTGGCTATTGTTGAGAGTGCTGCTAAGAACACTGGGGTATATGTGCCCCTATGCATCAGCACTCCTGTATCCCTTGGGTAAATTCCTAGCAGTGTTATTGCTGAGTCATAGGGGAGTTCTATTGTTAATTTTTTGAGGAACCTCCACACTGTTTTCCAGAGCGGCTTACACCAGTTTACATTCAGGCACAAAATTGGAAATTGACTTTGCCAAGATTTAGATAGCTATGTTGTGTTTATTAAAAGGAATCATCTACTTTATTTTACACTAATTATAAGATGATAAAAGTCAAGTTCAAAAAGGTGTGTGATGGTTTTATTGGCAAAGTTATGATCTAGCGGTATTGCATGAAGTTATTTCAGTTTACAGATTTCAGTGTTTTCCTTACAACTAAAACCTTCCATTACCACATTTAAACTTTCCTGCAGGACATCCTACATGTGGAGCTTTAGTTTCAGGCCCGGAGCAGCAGTGAAGTGGAAGTTACCACACCATTCCAGTCCTTGGACATCTGTATATTGTCCTTCACCTTCCACCCTGCAAAAGTGAAAAGTAAGTTTGTTCATTAATCAAGACCAAGAATTTACAGTCCAGATGTAAGACTGTCTAGAATATTATACTCTATTCCTGAAGAATTATATCTTTCCACTTTCAAACTTTGATTTAAAATTCAGTATTCTAGGGGTACCTGGGTGGCTCAGTCAGTTAGGCGTCCGACTTCGGATCAGGTCATGATCTCACGGTTTGGGGGTTCGAGTCCCATGTGGGGCTCTGTGCTGACAGCTCAGAGCCTGGAGCCTGCTTTGAATTCTGTGTCTCCCTCTCTCTCCCCCTTTCCCACTCACACTGTCTCACTCTCTCACAAAAATGGACATTAAAAAAAATGCTTAAATAAATAAAATAAAATTCAGCATCCTAAATAAATAAAGTAAAATTCAGCATCTTGCTTTCATTTCCTACCAAAATCATTACTATTCCAAATAAACATTGCCGTTATACAAATTTTGGTGTAAATCCAAGGTTTTAGGATCACATACACTAAATTTACATAAAACCAAAGCAATCAGTTAAAAGATGAAAAGTTCATATTAGTTCATTTATTTATTCAACAAAATGTATTGACCATCAACTATGTTTGAGGTGCTGTGCTCTATGTGGGTGTCTTCTTGGACTCTTGGGAGTGGTGAAAATGTACTTCACAGACACGAACAGACCTTTATTCCATGGGTTAGATTTTTTTCCCCTTTATTAACGTCAGTGAAAAAGTCTGTGCTATCATCACAGACGTGGAGTCAAAACAGGTGAACACTTTTCTGCCCACCTCAAAATGTATTTATATCAATCATTTCATAATAATTGGGTTGCATTTTCAATTCTGGAAATAAATAAAGGGGTATTTATAAATGAACACAAGCCTCTGGATGACATGGCATGGTATTCAGTGTGAAGGTTAAGCTTATAAAACTGTGCTCATATTTCATTTCACTTGTGGTTTTCCTTTAAGCATAAACTCAAAAAGAACAACAGTGGGTACATTTCTACAATTTGAAAACTAACTAATTTTGCGTACATTTTAAAAACTAGCTTAGTAAAAATACCTATATATCAGGTCAAAAGGCAATAAACAATTATGAAATTATTCCCAAGGCTGCTTTTTTAAAAGTTTATCAGCACATTTCAAGTGAAAGTAATTTGTGGCCTAAATTTTCTCAATAATTATGACAAGCTTTCCATTTCCAAGCTGGCTGCAAAAAGTTCTATCGGAATAGGAGAGTTAAGAGGAAATAAATGGAAAGTCTAGTAGATTATCACCAAGAATGGGATTTTCTTTTGGAGGCTCCTGATGGTCTTAGCCTCTCTTATAACATTCTGCCCCCAAAATGACCCAACAATTCTTAATATATATATTATATTTTAATGAAATATATTACAAAAAATGTTTAGCATTGACCAAATATAATAATTAAGCAAACATGCCTGAAAAGAACCTTTTAGAACTACAGTGACTTTTTATTTTAAGCTTACCTATTTTCATTGAAGTTTCCAGTATACTTTGCCCCAGTTGGGAATGTGTAAGTCCCCAATCCATGAAACATATTGTCCTTAAAGTGTCCTTCATATACTGCTCCTGAAAAATGCTCAAGTCTTCCAAAACCATTCATCTATTTGTAACAAAGGAAATGACCTCGGTAACTAACATTCAGTTTCCCTAGAACACTTCAAACATGTATATATATGTCTATCATCCACTTAGTTTAGTTATTATTTAATCTATCATTATATCACCATTTCCACAAAAATTAGACAACATTTACCATTTATCATTGTCCTTCAAACATATCTCTCCCTGAAGCCCACCAAGTCAAATGTTCCTGACCTGGGGCATTTGAACATCAAGGGGTCGATGATGGTGAAAATAGCATCCTCAAGATATCTTGAATATATCAAAAATCTCAAAGGACAACCAGTTTAGTTAGCCCAGGAAACAGTACAAAGAAGTTGTTAGGAACAAAAATTTGTATTCAAGCAGACCTGGGTACACATCTGGTTTCATCACCAGATGAAGAAACCTGAGCCTGACTTCCTTCATTTATAAAACAGGGACATTAATGGTACCTGCCTCATGCAGTTGCTGTGAGGATGAAATGAGAAAATTATGTAGTGAGGTTAGCTTTACTCAGTGAATAGGAGATGAGAAAGATGATAAGAAAGATGATAGGGGTGCCTTGCTGGTTAGATGGGAGGAGCATGTGACTCTTGATGGAGGTGGGAAGATTGTGAGTTCGAGCCCCAAACTGGGTGTAGAGATTACTTAAATAAATAAAACTAAAAAAATATATAATAAACACTTCATGACTTTAATATTACTCCTCTGTTCATATCCATTATTTGTACTGTAGTCTACTCCCATGTGCTTTTCATTAATGGTGAAATTTCAGAGATCATTTAACCCATAGGCTTACTTATCCATTGTCAGTATTGAAAACAGCAATGATACCTTGTCATCTTTCCAGCTTCCTGTGTAGACAATCCCATTAGGAGTGGTATGAATACCTATTCCATTTCTCTCAAAGATTCCAGAAGATGTTCTTGTACAATCACCATCTAAACAAGAGAGAAATATATTGTAATCCATTTTGAATGGGAACCTTATTTGACTAGGTAATAAAGTATTTATGTGTAGGACTAATCACAACTGCATTGCAACCAATGCAACCAGAGATAAGGAGATCTACTGACTTGGAAGATCCTGTGTTTTGTTTTGTTTTGTTTTAAGTTTATTTATTTAAGTAATCTCTACACCCATCAGGGGGCTCAAACTCACAACCCTGAGATCAAGAGTCATATGCCCTTCTGATTGAGCCAATGAGGCACCACTTAGGAGGTCTTGGAACCATTGAAAAGAACAGCCAGGAAGACTGATAGATCCTGTATGTAGGTTTCCAAGGATACTGTCTAGACTTAACACTAGAGTTTAAATTTAAAATCTGTCCACCTGTTTGTATTTTTATTTAATGGATTTACTATCCCAATAGTAGTTTTACAGAATTTAGAGTCTCATGATGTTACTCATAAGCTATTTAATTTTAGTCTAAACAGAAAAAGTAATCAAAATGTATGCTTACCATACTTGTCTCCATTTGGAAATATAAAGTTTATCTTATACACTTCTGCAGCTGTTTTAAAAGATTTAAGAAAAGTCACATAAGCTTACATATTTTTAAGTCGGAAGACCTGTAACAAACGTGCTTTAAGAGCTAACAAACAGACTCACTTCACATGATCACAAGCATATCATGATTACTTGGCACGTCTATTGTCTAGTGTAGGGTCTTGGGGAAATAAATAACTTTGTCTAAGTGATCTATTTTTATTTATGTGTTTATTATAATAGCTTTATTAATATATAATTCACATACCAGAAAACTTACCCTTTAAAAGTATACAATTCACTGTTTTTAAAGCATATTCAGAGCCATGCAAACATCACCACAATCTAGTTTTAGAATGTTAGCAGTTAGTCTCCATTCCCCCAATTTCGACTCCCACCTCTTCTCTACCACCATCTCCACTTCACCCCAGCCCTAGCCCCTGGCAACCACTGAGCTACTTTCTGTCTCTATGGATTTGCCTATTTCATATAAATGGAGTCATATGATACATGGCCTTTTGTGATTTACTTCTTTTATTTAGCATGTTTTCAAGGTTTGTAGCATGTAGCTATACTTCATCCCTTTTTACCGCCAAATAATAGTCCATTCATCAGTTTGTTTATCCATTCATCAATTGGTGATCAGTTGGGTTGCTTCCAGTTTGGGCTGTTATGAACAAGATTGCTATGGACGTTCATGTATAAGCTTTTGTATGGATATATGTTTTAATTTCTCTTGGATAGCCTATGTGACCTATTGATGCCCTCACAGAAGTAAAATGGAGGGAGGAATTGGCAGAAGGAGGGACTAGAAAATAAGAAAGACAGTAAATGACAGTGGGGAGAGGTATGGGTGAAGGGGTCTAAACAAAATGAGATTGGAATGGAGACCAGGTCAAAAGAAAAAAAGAAAACCACTTGCCAAGAGGGAATCTATGCCTCAAAGCAAAGGGATACTTACTGGACAAATAGGTAGAAATTATTTTTTTCCAATACCAAAGGAAACATATATAGAGAGAAGATAAGTAAATTTTAACTTCTAGGACAATAGAGTCTACCAGAATGTTACTCAAAATGTGGCTCATATATCAGTCACGTGGGATGCTTGCAAGTTTACTGAATCAGAATTTCTACAGGTAGGGAAAGAGAACTGGTATTTTTAATTTAAAAATTAATTTAGGGGGCACCTGGGTGGCTCAGTCAGTTAAGGATCCGACTTCGGCTCAGGTCTTGATCTCGCAGTTCTAGAGTTCGAGTTCTGCATCAGGCTCTGTACTGACAGCTCAGATCCTGGAACCCGCTTCAGATTCTGTCTTCCTTTCTCTCTGTCCCTCCCCCACTTTCAGTCTCCCCCCAAAAAAATGAATAAACATTAAAAAATTTTTTTAATTAATTTGGGTGCCAATTGAGAAATACCAGAGATTCATCCCCTTCACGGAAATAGAAGACAATAGACAGAAGACCTTAAAATACTGTAACAACCTCAGAGAGAGAGCAGAGTATCCATAAGACAGTAATAGGTGGTTATGAAAAAGAATGAATTAACAATCTAGGAAATGAATCACATAACTATTGTAAGGACTGAAGAGTGTAAAGGACACAACTGAAAAGTAAATTGGTGAACTGGAAAATGAGGTTGAAAATTTATCCCAGAAAAAGGCACACAGAAAAAGACAGGTATTACCTGAGCAAAGCCTGTTTTATCTCCCTACACTCCCAGACACATCTGGGAGTCTCCACAGCACCCTGGACTGATCCCTACCATAGTACTTAGAACCCTATTAAAATAACGCTTTTGTGATGGAATCCCCTATCACAATACCCAGCTCATTTAGGTCAGGGATCAGGGATTAGTCAAATCTTTGTTCTCACTCTAGTGACTAGCTCAGTGCTTAGTACTTGCTGGCAGGAACTCAAGGTCTAGTGAATGAATGGCATTTGGAAAGCAATCGCTAAAAGTTTATTAAGCAGAGCACTTAGCGTGATCGTCCAAAAAACAGAGCTGTTTTCAAATGCCTTTAGATGGTTCCCCACATTCGAAACTTTGCAATGGTAGAGCTGGAAGGAACCCAAGAGGTGGAGACCATCAGGTATCATGAAGGCAGCAAACCCAGAAAGGATGGCACTTGCCTAAGATGTCACAACAGCAAATCAATGGCTGAATCAGAGCTAGAATCCAGGTGTCTAATTTCCAGGCTAGGGGGTCTCTGCGCCCCCAGAGCCCCCCGGCTTTGTAAGACGATCAGGAAGTAGTCACACCCACACCGGAGCTACCAGCGGCTACACTCTGGCTTCGTGCGAGTTCTACTTAAAGGTGCCCTTCCCGGCTCGGGGCGTTGGGAGGAGGGGCACTCACTTGACAGAGGTGTGTTGCTGAGATTTTCTTGACTCGACGATTCCTGCTGGGTCGCCAGCTCTACCGCAGTGAAGCAACCGAGCGCTTACTCAGCGCGCAGCGCGACTCGGTTGCCGGGGCGACCAGGCACCTCTCACCCGGAAGCGAAAAGGCGAGGAGCCGAGGCTGAGCCAATCGGGAGGCAGCAGGTTGTGCTGCTGCAGCAGGGCCGCGTCAGAGCTGCTCCAGGTACGATCGCGGCGGGTGGCGAAGCCCTGGTGGGACCCCTCAACCCTGGACGCTCCCTCCTGACGCCGCCCAGGAAGCAGCGCTGCCATCCCGCCACGGGCGCTTTCTGCGGGCAAGGGATGCGTGCCCGTGTGCGTGGTCTGCCCTCTGCCGGGGTCGCCCGTGTGCGGATCCTTCTACCGCCTCCCTCCCCGGGGGTGGTCAGGGTCTGAGGAGCATCCCGCCCGGTGGGATCCAGCCTGGCTAGCTGGGGCCGGTGAGTCTGGACCAGCAGAATTCCGGCCTTGCCCACACCCAGGCAAGAGGCGGGGGAACCCAGTTCAGCTCAAAGACGGGTAAGGGGTTGCATTGCATCCCGTCTCTGTCACCATCTCAAACTGAGTGGCTCTTTGGAGACGATGTATGCTGGAAGAAAGGTCCCAGGTATAGGTCTATCAGCGTGGAGCCGGTTATATGGGGTCAATCAGATTCGCTTGGGAGGGGAGTGGTGTATGATCAGTTTTCAGTGCCCCCGCTGGTGATTGTTTCTGAGGGTCTATTTGGGGTGTGAAACAAAGGATGCTCTTTGAGCCAAACTTAGGGCCCTGTGTCTACGGTGTAGAAAGAGTGTTGGAATCTCCCAGGCTAAATGGAATAGAACAGTGAAATCTATCCATGTAGATTATACAACTTAATTCCCATTCCTTTCAAAACATATGGGCAGAGTCATATTGGATACAGCCAGCAAGTCTTGCTTCTACATTTTGAGAGCAGATCTGAGATCAGGTAAATGTGACATTTTCTGGGGTGGTATAAGACAAGTTGTTGATCGTTATTTAGGCGATCTAGCTGTGGCCTGATCTGGTTGGCTAGCCACTCTTCTTTTTAAAAATCAGAGGGCAGTCTCTTCTTGCTTTTTTCCCTAATGTATTTTACTACACAGATTTACCTAGTCTGGATGGTTTTTGAGCTGAAGCGCTGATCTTCCTGTCTGATTTGCATATCCTTTCCCGTTTTCTGAATTTTAGAAATAGTAGGTAATTATTGATGCACAACTTTATAGAATTCAGTTTGTCTCGTTGTTTGGCCTCCCATTAAGCTTTTAATGGCCCTACATTTTTGTGAGTATATGTATAAGTGCCACCGTTTTCACAGAAGAGTTTGAGGTAGTTGGGCTTCTTTCTTATGATATTCTTATCCAAGAGGATCTGGAGTCAGGAAATTTACAGTGAAGGGATTTTAAAATTTGGATTGGAAAAGTGTATTAATCATTTTGACACAAAATTCTTTTTTGTTATTTTATTTGTTATTTTATTACATTTTGATACAAAATTTCTTCCTCTCTGGCCAGGAAGACACTGCCCTTCCTAGAGACTAAGTAACAGCTTGACCTGTGAACCAACCCCCAACACCTGCCTCCTTTATCTAATTTTTACACACCAAGCCAATTCCTCCCTCCCCCCAAATCAACACAGGGCCAAGTCTGGCAAGGAGGGACAGCTCCTGTGCCCCAAAGCCTGCTGGAATGATCTTAATTAGCCAGTCCTAAACAGCTTACTCTGCCCCGCCTTCCTGCAGAAACCCCAAGAAAGGCTGCGGCTTCTGCCTTTCCCTGGCTCCCGTGTGCTTCCTGGCTGACTCTGGTGTTTCCTCCTGTGGCCTGGCGTGGCGTGGCATGCCTCTCTCCTTTCTGGCCACACAGTGAATAACATTAAACTTTTCTTTCGGTGGCATTGACCTCTCCTTGTTTCCACTTTTATAAATTAAGACCCAGGCACAAATCAAAGGGGGTCTGGTTTATCATTAAACTTTGAATTGAAGATACAAGGTACGTGTGGGTGGTGAGCAGGAGGGGATATGGCAGAAAGAATTTTGGCTTTGGTGTCAAACAGATTGTTTCAAACCCTGGCTCCAGACTTTGCTTCTAGACATTAGGTGACATTAAACAAGCCATATAATTTATCTATGCTCTAGTCTCCTCCTCTATGAAATGTAGAAGATAATATTTACCTTATAAGATTTTTAGAGAGTTAAATGAAATCATCTTACCTTTCCCCTCAATGTAGACTTGTGTATTCAACTACCTTCAACATGTTTCCATTTGAGTATCTAATTGGCATCTCAAATGTAACATATCCAATCTGAACTTGTGACACCACCCCCAGATCTTTTCCTTCCCAGTATTACAGTTCTGAGCACATGACGCCACTATTTACCCAGTTAACCTAGGCCAAAAAAAATCTTACAGCAATTCTAGAAGTTTCTTTCTCATGCTTGTGCTATAATTTATCCACATTTAAAATACATTGGGGGGCACCTGGGTGGCTCAAGTTCATTGAGCATCTGATTTTGGCTCAGGTCATGATCTCTCGGTTTATGGGATTGAGCCCCATGTTGGGCTTTGCGCTGGCAGTGGGGCGCCTACTTCGGGTTCTCTGTCTCACTCTCTCTCTTTGAAAAATAAACATGAAAGTCTAAATAAAATCTAAAACCACGTAAAACCCACAGCAATCTATTTCTCTACTTGAGATCAAAACAGGTTTCTTTTTTCCTATCTAAACATAATTCTTGGCATGGAGATAAATCGGAATTCACATGATAAACTTTTTCAGACTCTTTCAAAAACTTTTAAGCCCTGCTTTAGAAAGAAATTCTTATATTACACATATATATTTACATATTTTTTCCTTCAAAGACTAATGGCAAATGTATGAGGTTAATAGGCATGTAATGGGACCATGATAGTACTAATAATGTGAAAATAAAAAGCAATTCATTTATACAACGTGTTTCTGTATGGTGCACTATGAAATGGGATCACAGAATACCTGAGTCACCAAAAAGTTCAGAAACTAAGCTCACTTTAAGAAAATTCATTCTAGGGGCGCCTGAGTGGCTCTGTCGGTTAAGCATCCAACTTCGGCTCAGGTCATGATCTCGTGGTTCGTGGGTTCGAGCCCCACGTCGGCTCTGTGCTGACTGCCAGCTCAGAGCCTGGAGCCTGTTTCAGATTCTGTGTCTCCCTGTCTCTCTGACCCTCCCCTGCTCCTGCTGTGTCTCTGTCTCTCTTTCAGAAATGAATAAAACATTAAAAAATTAAAAAAAAAAAGAAAATTCACTCTATTGTTTAGAGCAGAGATCACCAAGTTGTGATGTATGACACACAAAAGCCAAGTATTAGCCTAAATTGGCAATAGCTGCAACTTAAATTAAAACCTAGACACCTATGTTCATAGCAGCACTCTCCACAATAGCTAAAACATGGAAAGAGCCTAAGTGTCCATCAACGGACGAATGGATCAAGAAGATGTGGTTTATCTATACCATGGAATACTACATGGCAATGAGAAACAATGAAATCTGGCCATGTGTAGCAACAGGGATGGACCTTGAGGGTGTTATGCTGAGCGAAATAAGTCAGGCAGAGAAGGACAAATATCATATGTTTGCACGTATAGGAGGATTAGGAGGAACTTGATGGAGGAACAAGGGGGAGAAGAAGGGCGGAAATGGTGGGGGAAAGGGAGAGAGGCAAACCATGAGAGACTCTTGAATGCTGACAAAAACTGAGGACTGAT